GCGCGCAACAAACGCTGAGCAAACCAAAAGGGACCTTCAAGAGTGGAACCCACGCCAACGACAAACATGCCGCCATTGGCCCTGTGCTGGCCTTTCTTGTCCGTATCGGGCGGAAATGAAGCCTCCTCCCGTCCCTTAAGCCCCCCTCTCGCTCTGGAGCTTCACTTGGCAGCATTGCGGAGCATGGAAAGTCCAGCCTGCTGCCTCGCCCATCCCCGTCTTTTATCTCAACCGGACGCTGCGAGCGCGAGGCAGCAACAAGGTCTGCATTGGATCTGGTCCAGAATCTAGTGGAGAAAAAGCCTTTTTTTTCCGCCTCCTGCGTACGTACCCGACGGCCCCCGGGCTCCAAAATAGTAGCCGTCGTGTTTGTTGTTGCCGCTACGCTAACACCACTTGTTAAGTCTTTTTTAGTCTCTCCAGATACTGCCAGTCCCGCCGAATCACTCTGCCTGCTACTCTTGTCACCACGTCGTTTGTTTTTCTAAGGCGTGTAAGCCAAGTCAAAACCCGTGCCCTCCATCCAAAGATCGTTGTGGATTGGATTGTTGGAACCCGGCCAAATTCTAAGCTGCCCAGCTGTGAGCCACCTACACCTCCCTACTTTGCTGTGCCGAAGGAAGTGCTTTTGACCCGATAGCTTTGGGCTTGGACCCCAGTACCAACTAGCCAGGCGTCGACGAGGCTTGCTTGTTATGACGGCCACCACCTCAAAAACAAATGCCGGAAAAAGCCATGACGACCGCGCGCTGCTGCCGACTTAAATAATCCATCCCGGCCTGCCTGCCTACCTGCAACTCTGCTTGTTTTATCCAACTCCTTGCCACGGTGTGGGTAAATTGTAATGGCGACTGCAAAAGGAGAGACTTTGTTTAAGCGCGTAGAGTAAAAAGTCTTTGCTAACCTTTCGGATTAGCGAAGAGCCCAGGCAAGCGCATATCATGGTCTGATATGGTTTACCGTAAACTAAAGCGTTGTCGGTCGCTGTTGGTGTCCCTTGGTAAATTTTCTTTTTGCCGGGGCGACCTTTCCCGGCTCGAGCTCGCCACGAAGGAGCTGTTGTTTTGTTTCTAGTCCCCTTGGAACAGATTGGCGGTGCGCTACACGTCAAGCCCGACTTGCAATCAAGGATAGTAACATGCTACTGAAAGACAAGGCCCTTGTGGACGCTTGCTGCTCTATGAAAATACATGCCTACCTGCAGCCCCACATCGCTCACTATAGCCATTTTCTCCAGTGGATTGGCTCCGATCGGATAACTCCCGACTGAAACTCCCAGCCTGCGGAACCAATGCAAAGAAACAAACGCTGTGAGAGCGAGGGTGAAAACAAAATGGCAGAAGAACAACAGACAAAACGGGGAAAGGTTCCATGATTGTTACATGGACCAAAATCTCATTTTCTCGTACCTCTGTGTGTGTGTGTGTGTGTGTGTGTGTGTGTGTGTCAAGTGCCACGTTCCATCTTGGTTGTCCATCGCTTTGCTTCAACTTCACTCCAAGGAAAAAAGCTCGCTTCGTTCCCTCTTTAAATAAAAAAGAAAAAGGAAAAAGGGAAAAAAGAGAAAAAGGATCGTCACATTCTGTCAGGAAGCCACAGTCATGCTTGAATCATCATCACCCTCAATTCCGTTAAACAAGTCCCACCCGGACCTCTTTCTTTTCTTACTAAAAGAGAATGAGAAGAAGCAAGGAAGGAAGAGCATTTGGCATTGACAGACACAAACAAAAAAAAGCCCGACTTTGACACCATCAAGCAGGCCCGGACTTTACCTCAGAATCTGCGCCATTCTTCTTCTTCTCGTCCTCCCCAACGTGACAAGCAAGCACAGTGGTCAAAAGCTCACGCCCGGTCCTTTTCCTCTGCAAAGATCTACACCTAACTCGGCAGCATTAGAGCGGCCCAGCGCGCTATCAAACAAGACGATCGCGACCGAGAAAGCCCTGGCCCTAAAATTTAAAAAATTTAGGGTTCTTGAGCTGCCACGTGGATTGGAACTTAAGCACGTTTTGGTCGAATGTTTAATCTGGACTGGCCGATAGTGTGGCTTGATTTTTCTTTTCTCGTGCACTTAAGAGCGCTTCTTCATTCATAGTACGTTTTTCAAGGCTCGATTTATGTCCTGTTGGCCTGCCTGTGGTTTTAAAGCTCTTTCTTCTTTTTCTTCTTGTCTTGCTGCCCGTTTTATCCCCTGCTTTTCTCGGTTTTGGGACTTTGCTTTTGAGCTCTAACGCTAGCGGCCACCTCGACTTATTCTCCCGAGGAAAAGTATTCCCGAGAACTAGCTGACAAGTTCACATCTCGAAGAATAACAGGTAAAACCATCGTAACAGCCATGGCTGAACTCAGCGTTTGTATCTTTCGCGACAGACGGCAGAGCTCGTTAGAAAAATCAAAACAGGAAAGAAATTTGTGTAAGCTCTTCACTTTTTTTCCTTTTGAGTTGTTTCACAAATTTCATACTGTTTGTTGAGATAAGACCTGTGGTCCCGGAAATCTTGATGGAACCTTTTCGTGTTGTAGCACTTGTATTTCTGGACCTGGAAGCTTTGGATGCTCAAGACGTACCACTTTACTGTTTCGCGCTCTTCTCTCTTCCTTGACTTGCTGCTCTTGTTTTGCAGCCGGAAACTCGGGATAGAGATGGGAAATCACCAATCGTGTAAGTGTATTTTTCTTCAATCCGTCCTCTGAGGTCTAGTTTCTCACGTTCTTTTGTGTACGTGATTTCTAGTTGGTGATCTTAACGTTGGTTGTGGTGATGATTCAGCTTTTGATCGATCAAAGCGTGTTTTCAATTGTCACAGTCTCCGCGCTAAGGAGCCGAAAGTTACGAACAATTTGTGCAGCTATGGTGGAGAGCCAAATACCAAAGTTTGGTTGGAGTTTTCTTTGCAATAAGCACAGGCTCGCAAGGTTCTAGTTGATTTTCTTTAGATTTTTGGTCTGACTGCAACAATCATTGATCGATTCCAAGCTTAGTATCATACATTTGCTTCTTATAATTGCTCCCATGCCTTAATACACCAAATCAAGTTGCTGGAGAGCAGGAATCCTGTTTTTCGCTTCCACGTAAGTTCGTCTCTGATTGCTCTGCCTTTCCAGAGAATTCTATCTTGCTGGAAAACATTCCACAAACACTTTCAAAAGCAAGACTCGAGCTTCTTTCATTACAATATTGCTATTATCTGAATCATCCGCCGGTAACGTCAGTCTCAGTGACCGAAACACCAGTGTACGTACCAGTCTGGGGGAAACTAAAGCTTTCGCCTGTGTCAAGCTTGACAACCATGACACCCGAGTATGGCACGTTGATCTTACCAGAGTAAGTTACTGCCTGGATGTTAACTGACGCCCCCGGTGCCAGCGTATTTCCCTCGGATCACTCGAGGTTTTTGGTGCCGGAATGCTCAACCGTGTTGGTGGACTGCTCGCTCTCTTGCCACTGATAAGAGCTCTCGGTCTTGAAAATGTCGAGGATGCTGGCATTCACAGTGACGGTTTGGGAAGTGGTGAGGCCTTCGGCCTGAGACCACGAGTAGGAGATGGTCATATCTTTACTTCCATCGATCTTCCACTGAACAGGAACTTCACTGTTGTTGCTGCATTTCAGGGTGTCCAGTGTCTCTGGAACGATGCTTCCCAATGCAGAGATGTTGTAGTAGCGTACGTCTTGGAGCTGGCAAGAGACCAGCGGCAGGAGAAACGCAAAGCCCCGTGCGTTTAGGTCGTCACCGGCACGGATGTCGGCTCCCACCAGGATCCCGGAGTAGACATTGATCACCGTGGCGCTTCCACCTTGGTATCCATGCTGGAAAGTATTGCCGAGGCTTGTGGTAAACATGATAGCACTGGCGCGATCACCTGGTCGTCCAAAAGCACGAGCCAAGGTATAATGCATACCAAGAAGAGGTGATAGAGCAAGCTTACCAACGTGATCCCATTCGCCAAGCCAGAGGGACATGGACGTGATGAGCTCCCCGGGCTGGAAAGTGTAGGTGGACGAGCTTCCAGCGGGGCTGCCATAGAGGTGGCATTGATTGTCCGTCTCACCCGTCTGCCACAACTTGACAGCTTTGGTTCTGTTACCATAGTCCCACACTTGGATCTGGCGGATGACCTTCCCGCTAGTCCAGGCTTCAAGCTGATAGTCAGTGCCACCCGAGGTGTTTCCCACAACTTGGACGGTGCCAATGACGGGGCTGGAGAGTGTCATGAGCAAAAGGATGAATGCAAGGGAGTTCTAGGAGAGATGCTTTGGTGATGATGATCTAGAATGGACCTAGATTTATATTGTCCTCGACTTGGTGCTTGAGTCAACCATCGCTGGATTGTTGATCGTACTCCATGTGCGCGTGATTTTCGATCTCTGAATGAAAGAGTTTCTTACGCTGTTGCTGTTCAACGTAATCTGCATCGACAACAGGTCCTGATTATCACAGAATAAACAAACACCAAAAAACTACGGTCGTGATGAACGCGCTGCACTTGAACGTAAAAAATCTGCCAGCAAGATGCAACAAGATTAAAAACATTTCTCGTTTTAATCATGTGAAATTTTTCTAAGAGGTTTATATGTGTTTGTAAACGTCAGGATGCAGATTTGAGTCCTCGAGAACTGATATTTAGTCCTAATTAACACAGAATAAACAAATCTCGAAAGCAATCTAGACAGTACATACAGGTTTCTCTTGGTGAACGCGCTGCATTACAAAATTCTGACTACGAGCTGCATCCTGATTTTGTTGACGTTAAGAGGTTTATCAGTGCTCCGCCGTTGGATCGGGGGCATCCGACGTACCGTTTAACATTTGGTTATGAACAAGAACAAGACATTGGAGCCTCCAAAAAATATAGCGATTTGTTCAAACGTCAACAAAATCGATGTCGTGGTCAAATCTCCATCCTGACGTTTACATTAACACATATAAACCTCTTAGAAAACTTATAGGAAATATAATGTGATAATAAGTTCAACCTTTTAATGTTTTTGTTCCGCTATGGTTCTTGTGGGAGCGGCGCTCGAGGCTTTGGATTTCAAGACGCGGCGACCAAGGTACCACTTTGCTCAGATTTGCGAAGCGATTGCGTGTTTTTTTTACCACTTCACTTGCTTTGTAAGTTGTAGTTGGCTTGGCTCTTGGGTCATCCCACTTTGGTAGCTGATGCTTTAAAGGCATCGCCGGCGATAGAGATCAAACAGTCCAGCACTCCGCGTTTCGTGTGTGTTTTGCAAAAGGAATTCGCGACCGCTATTCCAGCGCTTGTGGATGTAAGATCGATTTGGATACAAGCTTGGTTGCAACTCACTCATGTTCTTCCCTCTCTCTTTTTGTCTTGCAGTTTGTTGGCACAGATGATGCAACAACTTGTGTGGGAGTGCAAATCCGGACTGTAAGGATGCTCCAAGTTGGTGTGTTACGCTTCTGATGGCTTTGCGGAACAAGCATCGGGCATTTGGACTTTGCAGGCTGCGTGAAAGAAGGCCTCGTCCAAATGCTTTCTTCGCTTTTTCCGGACAAGGACACCATCCTCGAGGTGTTGTTCTTGATTTTTTTTTCTTTCTATTTCCCCTGGTTTGTGAGTTGATTTCTACTGCTTGCCTTCTACACAGGTCCATATGGCTGGTGCTTACGATGACTCCATCGAGATGGGGCTCCGAGAAGATGAGATGGGACACTCTTGGCCTCTGTGCCTAGAACTTGTCGAGGAGTTGCAAGCTCTGCTTACAAGCTGGAAATCCGGACGCTTTGCATTCTCCGGCATAACACTGTCACAAGCGATGGGGGTTATCCTTGTCCTGCTGTGAGAGGCTTCGCGGTGAGCAAAGGTTCCATAGCTTTTTCGTTCTCTCTCTCTCTTTCTTTTATCAGTTCTCCTGGTTTCGCAGATCGAAACAAAATCTGGACGCTGTTTTCCAGCGAGCTTTTCAGCTGACGCCAGGGGTCCGGACGAAATCATTCGAGCACTCTTGATGCTGGCGGGGCCGGCAACCAGGCTCCGCCTCCCGTATGACACCGAGTCGGACACTTTCTCGATCAAACCATTCCAGTGGTATCAAGTCTTCTTTCACCACGGTTTCCATCTTTTCTTCATGGTTTCTTTCTACCTTTCCAGGAGCCGAGGATGGAAAATGCTCGCAGCGCAGTCGCTAGCTCTGTCTGATGCCGAGCTACTCCAGACTCGATCAACGTCTCCACACGCAGAGAGCCCGAGCTTCGTCACCTCCATCAGAAGGTAGTGCAAGAGCTCCTTTCCTTTACATGCATCTTTACCACCTTTCAGGATGGACACTTATATTTACAACCATCCCGACTGGGAACACGCATTTCCAAACCGAGAGAGCCGAAGGTTAGTAAGAGATCCTGGAACTGGGAGATGGATGCGAGCGGAAGACCCAAACTCAAGAAGAGTTGCGAGCACAGCCAAAGCTTTATGGGAGCTCTCGCTTTGAAAACCACAGGCTCTTCGTCACCACATCCCGAGAGAGAGCTTTGCTACGACAGATTCTCAAGCGAGGCAATCCACGAAGAGAGTCTCGCGTTTACTTGCACTGGTATCTCGTCGTGAGGACAGTGTCCGGCTTGGAGCTTCATGAGCGTTGCGTCGTTGTAAAGAGCTTGGATCTTGTCAGCTTTAGAAGACGGGGCCAGTGGATCCGACTCTCCCCACAGTACTAGCAGTGGACAATCCAAATCTCGCAAAAGTTTCTCCAGGGATAAATCAGATGGCTGGAACAAGAAGCGAGAGATCATCCTGTTCCAAGAAAAAAAAGCCATTCTTTTCGTAGTTTTTCATTTCTTTCCCTTCTACGAACCTGTAAAACACCACTGCTGAGCAGCAAGGAAGGAACCAACAAAAAAAAGCCTGACTTTGACACCATCAAGCAAACTTGGACTTTACCTCAGAATCTGTGGCATTTTTCTTCTTCTCACCCGCCTCAACAAAGGAGCTGGGTGTTGGAAATGTAATTATTGTGGAAAAATGTATTGCGGTCCGCTAAAATGAATTAAAACGCATCTTGCTAAATTTTTTGGGTATAACATTGAAGCATGTAATGCTTTAAATGTTCCTCTTCATGTTCAGAATCAAACTCGCTAAATGTTTGTGGATTAATATTAACATAGTGGGATTTTAATAGACATTAAATTAGTTTCAATCTAGACCTTTCATATAATTTATGCCCTTTTGTCTTTACCTTTTACAACAAATCTACAGAATAGGCATTTTGATAGAGCATCTGCTTCTAGAGTTGGCACACAAAGTGCTAGTCAATCTTAGCCTATGAGTGCTTTTATAGGCTAGGGATCATTTGTTAGTCGAAAGCGAATGTAAGATGGCAACATTGGAGAAATGCTTGATGATGTAAAAAACATGAATTTAGATGATGTGATATTAAAGTTCATTTTCTTGAATGCCATACTATTTAATGTTGTGAAAAGCCTATATTTTCGTGCAATGATCACAACCACTTGTAATGCCGGACATAATGCTGCATCGAGGATTCTTGGTTACAATAAAGTTTGTATTACTCAGTTCACTTGTCACTATACTCTAATCAAAGAGAAGTTAATTCCCTTTCATGATGGATGGACTCAATTTAAATGTACAATAGTGACTGATGGATGGTTTGATATAAAAAAACAGATCATTCATAAATTTCATAGTTACCTCTATCTATGGCTCAATATTTTGGCAGGGTGTTGACACCAAAGGGAAGAAAAGATTGGTCTTTGGCTTTGGGAGCAATTTAGACCCATTATTTTGGATGTTGGTATTGAAAATGTTCTTCAAGTCATTATTGATAGTATTTTGAATTGTGTATTAATGGGGGAACATATGAGAGAAGAATTCCCCTTTATCTTACACAATCAATGCATGTGCTGTGTTTTGGACTTGTTATTGGAGGATATTGGGAAGTTTGATTGAGTGTCTAAAATTATAAATGACTGTGAGAAGATCGTGAAGTTCATAATTGAGAAGCTAATATTACTTGCTTTATTTTGAAAGTTTTGCTCTAGAGAACTCATGAAGCCTGCAAACACTTGATTCGCTTACATCTTTTTTATAGTCAGCTAGCTCCAACATGAAAATGTTTTGCCATGCTTTCGACGATTCAAAGTGAGTGTAGAATTTGAATTGTCGAAATGGTATAACACAAAGGATGCTAAGAATGTTCGTACAACAACTTTCAATGATGAATTTTAGAAGAACACTTTTACTTTATTGGTCATGGTAACTCTTATTTTGAAGGTGTTATGTCTTGTAGATCGTAAGGGTGCAATAACAAGATTAATTTATGAAGCAATGTATTGTATAATTAAAGGATTAGAGCTTATAGCTCAAATGGCAAGCTTGATGCGGATAAAATTAATGCAATTAAGTGTATTTTGATTGAAGATTAACATAGACAAAAAGCTCGATGGTTTATGATGCATAGCTATATGCACAATGCTACACATGCTTTGAATCTTTCATACCTTGAGCAAGACTTAAATGCTGAGGTAAGAAGCGATTGAATAGATTATTTATCACTCTATTGCTGTAAGGACACTCAATTGGAAGAAAAGTTAGATAAGTAATTCAATATGTTTCGACAAGGAAATGGAAGAGCTATCAATTAAGATTTGCTGAAGAGCAAAGCAAAAAGGAAATTCCTAGTGTCTTGGTGAGAATCCTATGGATATGAGATACATGAGCTCAGGAAGTTAGCATTTTGTGTGTTGAGCCAAAGAGTGTGCTCTTTTCCATGTGAGCAAAATTGGAATAGTTGGAACTTGATCCAAACCAAATAATATAATCACGTACTTCCAGAGAACTTGAAAAAGTTAGTTTATGTACATAATAACACAAGAGTGGTGGATCGTATTGAAAGTGAAGGAATAAAATTCTTAAAAGATCAATCTCGACACAATTACAATCAAACCACAATGGATAAAGATTGTAGAGTGAATCTCTTAGTATAGAAGATTTAGCCGAAGAAAATTTTCCAAATGAGGATGTGATTGTTAAAGTAGATGCCAGAGATGTTAAAGAACTTGCCGAAGATGTTGAAGAAGATAAGTAATAGTTGATTTGGTTTAATGCTTTGGTTTTCTTACTTTTATTAGTGTGGTTTTACTAAAAATGTTTTTTTTTAAATAAAAAAATTTATGAACTGTTCTGCCGTTTAGCATTTTTACGGCCGGTCGATAACCACTGTTAACCAATCGGTCGGTCAATCAGTGTTCGGAACAATTGGGACTAACCTTGCACCCCAGCGTGACAAACAAGCATAGTGGTCAAAAGCTCATGCCCAGTCTTTTTCCTCTGCAAAGATTTATACTGGCCAGCATTAGAGTGGCCCAGCGCAATCAGAAAGCCCTGGCCCTAAAATTTAAAAAATTTAGGAATCTTGAGCTGCCACGTGGATTGGTTCTTTTGGTCAAATGTTTAATCTGGACTGGCCGATAGTGTGGCTTGCTTTTTCTTTTCTCATGCACTTGAGAGCGCTTCTTCAGTCATAGTACGTTTGTCAAAGCTCGATTTATGTTCTGTTGGCCTGCCGTTGGTTTTTAAGCTCTTTCTTCTTTTCTTCTTGTCTTGCTCTGCTTTTCTCGGTTTTGGGACTTTGCTTTTGATAGCGCCACCTCGACTTATTCTCCCGAGGAAAAGTATTCCCGAGAACTAGCTGACAAGTTCTCATCTCGAAGAATAAAAGGTAAAACCATCGTAAGAGCCATGGCTGAAATCACACTGCGTTTGTATCTTTCCTGACAGAGGGCAGAGCTCGTTCGAAAAATCAAAACAGGAAAGAAATTTGTGTAAGCTCTTCACTTGATTTCCTTTTGACTTGTCTCACAAATTTCATATTGTTTATTGAGACAAGACCTGTGGTCCCGGAAATCTTACCTTTTCGTGTTGTAGCACTTGTATTTCTGGACCTGGAAGCTTTGGATGCTCAAGACGTACCACTTTACCGTTTCGCGCTCTTCTCTCTTCCTTGACTTGCTGCTCTTGTTTTGCAGCCGGAAACTCGGGATAGAGATGAATCGTGCAAGTGTATTTTTCTTCAATCCGTCCTCTGAGGTCGAGTTTCTTACGTTCTTTTGTGTACGTGATTTCTAGTTGGTGATCTTAACGTTGGTTGTGGTGATGATTCAGCTTTTGATCGATCAAAGCGTGTTTTCAATTGTCACAGTCTCCACGCTAAGGAGCCGAAAGTTACGAACGATTTGTGCAGCTATGGTGGAGAGCCAAATACCAAAGTTTCGTTGGAGTTTTCTTTGCAATAAGCACAGGCTCGCAAGGTTCTAGTTGAATTTTTTTTATTTTTTTTGGTCTGGCTGCAACAATCATTGATCGATTCCAAGCTTAGTATCATACATTTGCTTCTTATAATTGCTCCTATGCCTTATACACCAAATCAAGTTGCTGGAAAGCAGGAATCCTGTTTTTTGCTTCCACGTAAGTTCGTCTCTGATTGCTTCTGCCTTTCCAGAGAATTCTATCTTGCTGGAAAACATTCCACAAACACTTTCAAAAGCAAGACTCGAGCTTCTTTCATTACAATATTGCTATTATCTGAATCATCCGCCGGTAACGTCAGTCTCAGCGACCGAAACACCAGTGTACGTACCAGTCTGGGGGAAACTAAAGCTTTCGCCTGTGTCAAGCTTGACAACCATGACACCCGAGTATGGCACGTTGATCTTACCAGAGTAAGTTACTGCCTGGATGTTAACTGACGCCCCCGGTGCCAGCGTATTTTCCTCGGATCACTCGAGGTTTTTGGTGCCGGAATACTCAACCGTGTTGGTGGACTGCTCGCTCTCTTGCCACTGATAAGAGCTCTCGGTCTTGAAAATGTCGAGGATGCTGGCATTCACAGTGACGGTCTGGGAAGTGGTGAGGCCTTCGGCCTGAGACCACGAGTAGGAGATGGTCATATCTTTACTTCCATCAAGCTTCTACTGAACAGGAACTTCACTGTTGTTGCTGCATTTCAAGGTGTCCAGTGTCTCTGGAACGATGCTTCCCAATGCAGAGATGTTGTAGTAGCGTACGTCTTGGAGCTGGCAAGAGATCAGCGGCAGGAGAAACGCAAAGCCCCATGCGTTTAGGTCGTCACCGGCACGGATGTCGGCTCCCACCAGGATCCCGGAGTAGACATTGATCACCGTGGCGCTTCCACCTTGGTATCCATGCTGGAAAGTATTGCCGAGGCTTGTGGTAAACATGATAGCACCGGCGCGATCACCTGGTCGTCCAAAAGCACGAGCCAAGGTATAATGCATACCAAGAAGAGGTGATAGAGCAAGCTTACCAACGTGATCCCATTCGCCAAGCCAGAGGGACATGGACGTGATGAGCTCCCCGGGCTGGAAAGTGTAGGTGTACGAGCTTCCAGCGGGGCTGCCATAGAGGTGGCCTTGATTGTCCGTCTCACCCGTCTGCCACAACTTGACAGCTTTGGTTTTGTTACCATCGTCCCATACTTGGATCTGGCGGATGACCTTCCTGCTAGTCCAGGCTTCAAGCTGATAGTTGGTGCCACCCGAGGTGTTTCCCACAACTTGGACGGTGCCAATGACGGGGCTGGAGAGTGTCATGGTGGCAGGAGCTAGAGATTGAGCAAAAGGATGAATGCCAGGGAGTTCTAGGAGAGATGCTTTGGTGATGATGGTCTAGAATGGACCTAGATTTATATTGTCCTCGACTTAGTGTTTGAATCAACCATCGCTGGATTGTTGATCATACTCCATGTGCACGATCTCTGAATGAAAGAGTTTTTTATGCTGTTGCTTTTCAGCAGCAGTATGATCAACAATCCAGTGATTCCACAACTTGCCAGCAAGATGCAACAAGATGCCAGCAAGATGCAGCAGTATGATCAACATACTGCTGGTATAGGCCTTAGCATTCGGCTTCCATGAGCAAGACTGCTACAAGGTCGGGGTCCTGGAACACGCACAGCAGCAAGCCAGGATGGGAAAGGTGCCTCTGTATCAACAGCCAGAGTACTGCTGTGCAGGACAGCAAGGGAGCCATGCCAAGCAGCAGCTCCATACTGCTGCATCTTGTTGGCATCTTGTTGCATCTTGCTGGCCTTGATTGTCCATCTCACCCGTTTGCCACAACTCTTTCATTCAGAGATTGAAAATCACGGGCACATGGAGTATGATCAACAATCGAGCAATGGTTGATTCAAACACTAAGTCGAGGACAATATAAATCCAGGTCCATTCTAGACCATCATCACCAAAGCATCTCTCCTGAAACTCCCTGGCATTCATCCTTTTGCTCAATCTCTAGCTCCTGCCACCATGACACTCTCCAGCCCCGTCATTGGCACCGTCCAAGTTGTGGGAAACACCTCGGGTGGCACCGACTATCAGCTTGAAGCCTGGACTAGCGGGAAGGTCATCCGCCAGATCCAAGTGTGGGACGATGGTAACAAAACCAAGTCAAGTTGTGGCAGACGGGTGAGACGGACAATCAAGGCCACCTCTACGGCAGCCCCGCTGGAAGCTCGTACACCTACACTTTCCAGCCCGGGGAGCTCATCACGTCCATGTCCCTCTGGCTTGGCGAATGGGATCACGTTGGTAAGCTTGCTCCATCACTTCTTCTTGGTATGCATTATACCTTGGCTCGTGCTTTTGGACGACCAGGTGATCGAGCCGGTGCTACCATGTTTACCACAAGCCTCGGCAATACTTTCCAGCATGGATACCAAGGTGGAAGCGCGACGGTGATCAATGTCTACTCTGGGATCCTGGTGGGAGCCGACATCCGTGCCGGTGACGACCTAAATGCATGGGGCTTTGCGTTCCTCAGGCCTCTTGTTTCGTGCCAGCTACAGGATGTCACGTATGGCGATCTTTCAATGGGGTCTGTTTCGCTTCAAAGTCTAGACAGCTATTCCACCAACGTTGCTGGAGACGGCTCCTTTTCAAGCTCTGAGCAGTCTAGCATCCAAAAGACCATCTCGAGCTCTTGGTCCCAGTCCGAGGGAGTCACGTCCTCCATGGATGTTACGGTCACTGCGACGATCCCGGAGATTGGCGAAGTTGGGGGCGCGGGCGCCGGGACAAAGTACGAGTGGCAGGAAAGCGAGACATACACGTCGCAGGCATCGATCCAGGCCGTGCAAACGCTCACCTGGTCAGTGAACTGGACTCTCGTGGCTGGACAAAGCATAAGCCTCCAGGCTCAGACCCATACGGGGTCTATCAACGTTCCATACCAGGGTACCATGGTTGTCACCGTGGTAGAGACAACGGGTGATCCTCCAACGTTTTCGTTTGAGACTTTCAACTTCCCACAAAGTGGGACGTACACTGGTGTGTCTGTCACTGCAATTGAAGTTCCCATCACGGTCAGCTGATTCAATGGAAATATAATATGATAATAAGTTCAACCTTTTAATGTTTTTGTTCCGAGATGAAATGTGGTTACCCTAGCAGCTATGGTTCTTGTCGGAGCGGCGCTCGAGACTTTGGATGCTCAAGACGCGGCGACCAAGGTACCACTTTGCTCAGATTTGCGAAGCGATTGCGTGTTTCTTGACTACTAAGTTGTAGTTGGCTTGGCTCTTGGGTCATCCCACTTTGGTAGCCGCCGCTGATGCTTTCAAGGCATCGCCGGCGATAGAGATCAAACAGTCCGGCACTCCGCGTTTCGTGTGTGTTTTGCAAAAGGAATTCGCGACCGCTACTCCAGAGTTTGTGGATGTAAGATCGATTTGGAAAGAAGCTTGGTTGCAACTCACCCTCTCTCTCTCTCTCTCTCTCTCTCTCTCTCTCTCTCTCTCTCTCTCTCTCTCTCTGTGTCTGTCTGTGTCAGTTTGTTGGCACAGATGATGCAACAACTTGTGTGGGAGTGGGAATCCGAGATCCCAAATCCGGACTGTAAGGATGCTCCAAGTTGGTGTGTTACGCTTCTGATGGCTTTGCAGAACAAGCATCGGGCATTTGGACTTTGCAGGCTGCGTGAAAGAAGGCCTCGCCCAAATGCTTTCTTCGCTTTTTCCGGACAAGGACACCATCCTCGAGGTTTTTTTTCTTTCTTTTTCCCCTGGTTTGTGAGTTGATTTCTACTGCTTGCCTTCTACACAGGTCCATATGGCTGGTGCTTACGATGACTCCATCGACATGGAGCTCCGAGAAGATGAGATGGGACACTCTTGGCCTCTGTGCCTAGAACTTGTTGAGGAGTTGCAAGCTCTGCCTTACAAGCTGGAAATCCGGACGCTTTGCATTCTCCGGCATAACACTGTCACAAGCGATGGGGGTTATCCTTGTCCTGCTGTGAGAGGCTTCGCGGTGAGCAAAGGTTCCACAGCTTCTTCTCTCTCTCTCTCTCTCTCTCTCTCTGTCTGCCTGTCTCTCTGTTTTATCAGTTCTCCTGGTTTCGCAGATCGAAACAAAGTCTGGACGCTGTGTTCCAGCGAGTTTTTCAGCTGACGCCAGTGGTCCGGACGAAATCATTCGAGCACTCTCGATGCTGGCGGGGCCGGCATCCAGGCTCCGGTCCCCGTATGACACCGAGTCGGACACTTTCTCGATCAAACCATTCCAGTGGTATCAAGTCTTCTTTCACCTCGGTTTCCATCTTTTCTTCATGGTTTCTTTCTACCTTTCCAGGAGCCGAGGATGGAAAATGCTCGCAGCGCAGTCGCTAGCTCTGTCTGATGCCGAGCTACTCCAGACTCGATCAACGTCTCCACACGCAGAGAGCCCGAGCTTCGTCACCTCCATCAGAAGGTAGTGCAAGAGCCCCTTTCCTTTACATGCATCTTTACCACCTTTCAGGATGGACGCTTATATTTACAACCATCCGGACTGGGAACACGCATTTCCAAACCGAGAGAGCCGAAGGTTCGTAAGAGATCCTGGAACTGGGAGATGGATGCGAGCGGAAGACCCAAACTCAAAAAGAGTTGCAAGCACAGCCAAAGCTTTATGGTAGCTCTCGCTTTGAAAACCACAGGCTCTTCGTCACCACATCCCGAGAGAGAGCTTTGCTACGACAGATTCTCAAGCGAGGCAATCCACAAAGCGAGTCTCTCGTTCACTTGCGTTGGTATCTCGTCGTGAGGACAGTGTCCGGCTTGGAGCTTCACGAGCGTTGCGTCGTTGTAAAGAGCTTGGATCTTGTCAGCTTTCGAAGACGGGGCCAGTGGATCCGACTCTCCCCACAGCACTAGCAGCGGACAATCCAAATCTCGCAGAAGTTTCTCCAGGGATAAATCAGATGGCTGGAACAAGAAGCGAGAGATCATCCTGTTCCATGAAAAAAAAAAAGCCACTTTTTTCATAGTTTTTCATTTCTTTCCCTTCTACGAACCTGTAAAACACCTCTGCTGCGTTTGGATCCGCGGCAGGCTCGAGTATAGAATCGATAAGAAACTCGTCCACATGGCTCTTGTCTCTATACACCTGACAAAAAAATACAAACCAGACTTAAAGAATGAAAGAATGGATTCTTGGTTCTTGGGCTTACGTTGTTTAGTGCTGCCTGGATTCGCGAGCGTTGATTCAGCTGCTTGAAAACAAACAGTAGCGCTTCACGCCTTGCCCAGTCTCTAGCTTTCAAAAACGCCGGCCATCCAGCCGTGTTCTTCGTTGGTTTCTCGACAATCACCCGAGCTTTTCTACTCTGGAAACGACCAGCCGGGTTTACCAAAGCCAGTGCTGCGACGAGGTCGGGATAGAGCACTGCGGTCTGGAGAGAAGTAAGCCCACCAATGCTGTAAGCACCAAGAAACTAGAGAGTAGAAGAGAAAAACTATGAACCAAACTTACCTGTTTCCAACAATCACAGCGGGTCTCTTGACAACTTGCTTGACGAAGTCCGCGATCTGGCGGCTCCATAGCTGTGGATCATACTCGATCAAGGCCTTGTCACTCCATCCAAATCCCAGGAGGTCCAACGCAAAAACTTCGTGAGTTTTGGCAAGCTCGGGGATGTTGTATCTTGCAGCAAGCAAAAAGTTGGAGAAAAAACACACTCTCACACACAAGAAAAGAAAGAGCAAACCTCCAGTGATAAACAGATGCTCCAAAGCCATGGACGAGTAGAATTGGCACTCCTTTATGGCCCTGACGAACGTAGTGAATCTTGTGCTCTTGCCACTGCCAGTAATTGTGGCCGCCCTTCTTGAGCACAAGCTCTGGAAGTTCTTACAGTAAAGTCTAAGTTCTTCCTTGGAGATCAAATACCTGGAGCACTGGAGACGAACTCTTGCTGCTTGTGTGAAGAAGAACACCTCAATCTATCTAGCCATAGCTCAGCATTGGGATGAAAGCTCAGCTAGATCCTTACCTGGATGAAACACTGCCACCGCCATCGCCATAGCCATTTCTCTTGGTATAAAAGAAAAGAGAGCAGCAAACTTTAAAACTTTGAAGGAAAGTTTTGGTTATAGAGTTTTTTTGTCAGCCACACCAGTTTAAGTTGCCACCCTTGTTCTCTACGCGCTCGTCCAGGTTGAGGCTCGTCCACTGGTAGCCGCCATGGAAATCCTTGCAAGACGCTGCGATGCCCTTGGAGCTCTGGCTCTCGCTCTCGGTGGCCATGTCTATGACTTCCAAGCCATAGCAAGTCTGGTAGAATCCCGAGCCTGGAGTTTCTAGCGTCCCATTGTTGTTGGAGATGTGAAGATCCAGCGAGAAAGAGCTCGCCAAAGGGCTCGGGTCGCAGATGGCCCAGAGATTATCATAAATCGTGAAAATGTTGTGGCATGTTTGGGAAAATCCTCCGCAAGCCTGGAAACCAAGTCACGATTAAGTTTTTGGTGAAAAGAGAAGCTAAACAACCTCACTGTTCTTGAGCAACTGCAGCCCAATAAAAAGATCGATCAACATCATGTTAGAAAATGGCCAGATGAACAAAAAGAGAAAAAAAGAGAAAAAGATCAGAAATAAAAGGCTTCGATCACTGCTTATACTAAGCAAACGATGGACTTACACATGTCAAGCCTGTGTATCTCACCGAAGGAACATTGTCGTGTTCTTTCGATTGATCGAGGCCAGAGTTTCCAAGTTTCCAAATTTACGTGATGAATTCCCGATAAGTTATAACTTTGTTCTTATTGCCAGAGCGATAGCATTAAGTACTTTCTCGAGAGAAACCAAAGTAAGATACAAGATAGACAAACTCTGCCATGTACCTGAGATCTCGCAGCGATGCTCTGGCTCAAAACAAGCTCCACTTCTTGGCCTTTTTCTTCTTCTTTTTGGAGCTGTCCTTTGGCGAGTGGAGCTTTCCTCCTCCATCGTGTTCTTCTTCTTCGTTTTCGTGCTCCATCCTCAGGAGTTCCTCCAGGTCCGAATCCTCATCACTGCCTCCTCCCGCGGGATTTGCCAGTTTCTCGAGCCGAGCTGCGTCCTTGGCCCACTCGATGACTTGCTGAGCCTCGCGAGTCAGTCTCTCCTCCTCGACCGATGCCACCGAGAGCTCCTTCTTAAGGTTCTTCACGTTTAAGTCCCGGAGAAGGCCATCCGCATCGATCTCCTCCTCGTCTTCGCCTTCGTCACCACCTTCTGTTTCAAAGCTTCTGGCACTTCCACCTAGACACTGGCTCTTCTTCTTCTGTTTTTTCTTCTTCTTCTCCAGCGAGACTTCGTCGGCCGCGGACGCTAGCAACCTGTTAACACCATCGTTCTCCACCGAAGAGAAGCTTCCTTCGTCGGATCGCGACTGGCTTCTCGTTGGATCTTTCTTCTTAGTCATGCTAAGCTGCTTCAGCATCTTCATCGGGGAGAAAGATCGGTTCTTGCTGGAAGAAGATGAGGAGGATGACGAAAGAGCTGAAGGAGACGACGAAACCTTGACCTGCTGACGCTGCTCCGGAGGATTCGCTCCATGAAAAGAGTGTGATTCTTGAGAACCACTTGATGGAGACTTGAGTGCCTTGAGCCTGTTCTCGAGCTCAACGGCTAAGACGTCTTCTTCCTCCTCCTCCTCTTCTCCTTCATGATCTTCCTCCTCCTGATCTAGAGTAAGATCAAGCTCTTGCTGTGAACGAGAAGATTTCTTGGCATGGATGTCGACACCTGTGTCTTTGCCTTGATGATTTTTCTTCACTGCTGCTGCTGCCGCTGGTGGTGGTGGACGAGACTTGAGGTTCGCGAATCGAACGAGAAGATTACCCTCCAGCCCACCACCATCGTCCTGCCTTTCACCACTGCTAGGAGGGGCTTCGAATCCTTTAGCGGTCCTGTGACTAGTACCCACGGTGCTCAGCTTGAGCACACTCTCTTCTTGGAACTGATTCAGCAAGTTCTCTACTTCTGCATCGTCGGCATTGCTAGAATCCCTGTTGTAAAATCCACCCATCTTGAGAAGGAAAAACCCACCTTGTCCTTGCTAGATTATCTTCTCCATCGCTTACACTACACGCATGAACCCAAGCCAGTGCTCAGTCTGAATCGCAGCTAGGCCCAGCCGTCGTCGTACAGCATCTTCTTGTAGCCACCACAATTGACGCTCGCTGCTCTCTTTTGGTGACATCACCGGACTAGCCTAATGGAGAAAAGGAAAGTGGTGTTAGTAAAATAGTACAGGAAGAAGGTAACTCACCTCATGCCATTGTATCATTGTTCTTCGACCACGCAGACTCTTTGGATGATCCACCTGCGAGCTCGAGAACCAACTTAGTGTCACTGGAATCGGACACAAGATAGCCTGGCTGTTCTTCACTATCCACGAGCTCCACTTGATATCCGGACGGGTAGCGCTTAAGAATAACATCCAGCTCTTCTCCAAACATTTCTTCTTTCTCCATAATCACCTGCAGGGGCACATGAGCCAAAAGAAAGAACCAAATTTTGAGGAAAGTAGCGTACGTGTAATGCCTTCGTCAGTGCCGCCTTGTACGGTTTTAGCAGCGACAAAGTCTCGTCATAGGCTTTCTCCATTAGAGCTTTTGTGCGCACCGCTACATCCTCATCCATTCGAGGATCTATGGACTGACCGACGAGATCGTAATCGTTGTATAGTCCACCTTCAAACCAAGTTGGAGGCCCGAATTGTGAGGATCGTTCCCATGGCGATCTTTCACCATGCATTGAAATACGTCCGTCTACGTTCCATCTGCATAAGACGATGAGTTAAAGCTAAAGCACTGCTCGTCGCTTACATAGAAAATATTTTTCGTGCTAGCCAGCTCGCGTCAGCTAGATACGCTGCAGACAATGTTGATGTATCGTGTCCATATATAAGCTCCTCCCCGATTCGTGCTCCGAGCATCACCTGCGCTTACCAACGGTGTTAACATCTACAATCAAGCCCGCAAGGAAAGATACCTTAAGCCGATGAATCAGCGTAGGACGTCGAGCAAAAAGGTAGGCGTCATCGTCTAGAGTATGATAGATGGTTCTTGAGTATGTCTACACAATAATCACAATGTGGACACAATAAGTACCAGAAAAAGCTTTTGTATACTTGCCTTTCCACGAGGAACAATCGAAATCCTGTCACATGGCTCCACTTCAGCGTTCTCTGTAGACCGAAGAAGATGAGCCACCATTGCCATCCCTATTTCGATCGAAGCCAGACGGCGGTGGACCGACTGTCGTCGTCCAACACCATATACTTCGGGGCCGATTGTAAGTCTGTCTACAGCAGTGTCAACATCGTGCCGTGTAATAGATTTATGGCCCTTTCTTATGGCGACCAAAGCAGACTCTTGCATAAGCTGAGCGAGCTCAGCGCCGCTCCATCCTGCAAGAACACGTTAAGGGAAATGAATTGCCATAAAAAGTAAAGTCAGCTGACTGACCGTTGAGACTCTTCGCGTAAGGCCACAGATCAACCGAGGAATCTAGTTTCACCTTTTCAGAGTGGACCTTCAAAATCTCGTAGCGAGCGCTGGCCTTTGGAGGGCTGATAAGAATCTACAACACAAAATCATTGCTTGAAAACACAAAAAAGAGAGTGAACATACTCTTCGATCGAAACGGCCAGGCCTGAGGAGAGCTGGGTCAAGCATATCAGCACGGTTGGTTGCACCCAGAAATATAACACCTTTGCCGGTATCAAACCCATCCAACTCTATTAAAAGCTGGTTAAGCGTAGTTTCACGCTCTTGAGTTCCCGCATGGAACGTAGCAGTTTTGTCATCCATTGCACGTTTACCGTGGAATTCCGATCGTCTGCACGCGAAAGAATACTCAGTTTTTCCACGAAAGTAAAACGACAAAAGGCTGGTACACTTACGCGCCTCCCAGCGCATCAATCTCGTCAATAAACACGACTGCTGGACGATTTACCTGGAAGCGAGAGAGAGAGAGAGATAGAGGGAGAAAAAAAATTAAAGATCCACATTCACACAGAGCTAAGCCTCGGAAATAAGCAAACCTTGGCACGCAAGAACAGATCACGCATGCGAGCAGCTCCCACACCAACAAGCACCTCTACAAACTCAGAGCCTGCCATCTGGTAAAACGGTACTCCTGCCTCGCCTGCTACCGCCTTTGCAAGTAAAGTCTGCAGCAACGTAAGAAATTAGCGAACTCAAATCGAGTGTTTGTTTATACCTTTCCACAACCAGGAGGCCCTTCAAGAAGCACCCCATGGGGTGGTTTTGTACCCATCCTGGCAAATCGTTCCGGATCTTTAAGGTACACGACCAACTGAAACGTGAAACATGCCCGGTCAAAAAAAGAATACGGTGCCAATGAAACGAGTGTACCTCTTGCAACTCCTTTACAACTTCATCGATTCCTGCTACGTCCTTGAACATTACTCCAGTAGATCCCTGAAACAAAAATATATGGAAAGGAAATCGTAAGAGGTACAAAATCTTTTACCTACAGAAACTCACCTTTACGCGAGCCTGGGGCTTAGATTGTCCAAATTCAATAGCTTGCCATATATCCTGCATTTACGAAATTAAAATAAAAATGACCCGATAAACTTTTGAATGGGCAACTTACCCACTTTTGGTGATCTCTCGACCTCCTGGTTATGGTAAACTTTGCGAAGGCTGCCATCATCACGATAACAAAGATCATCGAGATTATAATTCGAAGCGCAGAAAGTAAGTCGCCACTGGTAACAAAGCCTGTGAATCCTGTAAACAAGCCGAGTAATCCCGTTCTCATCCCTGCTTCCCCAGTCCCAAGAATGATGCGCACAACTCCCATTGTCAAAGATAAGAAGGGGCCCATGATAGGAGTGATAGTGGGAAGGAGAACTCGAAAAATAACGAAAGCTGCAACACTTGCGAGAGCTGAAGCAGCACCAGCCGCAAATTTGCCGACCGCAAATGCAGCTACCGAGATGAGACTTACTACAGTCGAAAGTTCCAGCATCAAGCGGTTTGATATTGCCGATGACACAGGATTTGGCGTTGGAGGAGGCTGGATCACGGTTGGCTGTAAAGGAGAACGACGAGAAGATTTAATCACGTTTAGAATTTCAATTGAACACGACTTACTGCGAACCGCGGCTGGATTTCGTGATGATAGCCTCTATACTGAGAAAGGACGTATTTCGCTTGAGCTTCAGTCAGCTGCATGGACCTGGAATAAGAGCATTGGGAAGACGACGACTTAGAAGAAAGAAAATGAAAAAATGAGAGAAGAAGAGATGACGTTCACGTACCATTTTTGAGCTTGTGCACTTCTTTCTCCCGAGAGTTCTTTCAGTTCCACAATGAACTGAGTTCCTTTCGACTTGATCTGTGCAACTTGATCGGATTGCATCACATTGACAAAGTCTTGGAAAATCATGACAGGCAACTCGGCAAATTCCCTAGCGAATTCTTCCGCTTCTGCAACGTGGCCCATGAAAATCTCCTCTGGAACGTATAAATTCCCCTTATATGCTCGAAGAAGGTCAGGCAAGAAAACAGACCTTCCTTTCGCAGCCTGAGAAGTCGTCTCGGGAGTTTTTTTCTCCTGGGGACGAACTTCACGAGCCTTTTCAACCAATGGCTCGATTTTCGCGAGAAGTTTAGACCATAGCGGCACTCTTTGCAATCGCCATTCCTTGAGCGAGAGCATTCTATCTCCAGACAGGCACTTCCTCTCCACTCTGCTGGGATTCTCCCTCAGAATCTGTGTCATGAAATCGTCGCTGGCCTGCGCGGCTGCCGCAGAAGTAAGAATCGAGCCTACATTTTTCTCTCCTGCGACTCACCAGAAATGCGCCTCCAATGCCGGCGCTGGAATCGTCTTCCTGTGTAAGTATCGCGGAGTGGAGCGCGCGGCTCCCGGGAGGAGGACAGCGCCATTGCCATCGCCATGGCAATGGGATGATAAAACCTAAGCCCGGGGAGAATACCATTCAACCATCAAATTAATATTCTCTTTAAGTTCTCTTATTAGTGGTAAGAATGTTTATCAAAACTTTGCTCCATAGCATTAGCTTTTATTCGCTCGTTTCTCTTCGCTCTTCTATTTCACGTTGTAGTAAGAGTCGATGATCGCGTCCGCAAGGTAGTCACACTTGGCTAGATTCAATCCAGCCAAGGAAATTCGTCCATCCTTTGTCATGTAAACGTGCCATTTATCAGTCATGTTGTCACTCTGAAAAACATCACAGCGATCACAGTGAAGATCCAACCAGGTTTCGAAAACTTCGAGAGCTTTTTACCTGGGACTTGGTGAGGCCTGTGAAGGAGAACATCCCAATTTGCTTGAGAATAAAGGACCAATCTTTGCCACTCTTGTCCTTTGACAAGAGTGCCTCGTAGAGCTTCTGCCTCACACCCTTGATCCTGCCCGCCATCATCTGCATCTCTGCCCTCCATTCGTCGAACAAAACCGAGTCGCCGACAACGTTTGCAACAATCCGTGCGCCATGCACTGGAGGATTCGAATACATTGGCCTTGCGAGTCGCTTAAGTTGGCTCTTCACTCTGATCAAAGCAAGCAAACACGAGTGTTTTAACACACAAAACTGGTGGATATTTTTGTTTTATCATACCTTGCTGCCAAGTCGGCCGTTGGAAGAATGACGTTGATTGCACCAATTCTTTCGGCGTAGAGGCCAAGGTTCTTGCTGTAGGACTGTGCAACGAACATCTCAAAACCACGACTGGCAAACTTCCGCACGGAGCTCGCATCGTCGTCGAGACTACCACTAGCGAATCCCTGCAAAGGAAAACAGACTTGTTACATTCAGAGAAATCAATCCAAACATTACCTGATATGCAACATCAAAAAAAGGCATGTGGCCTTTCTCCTCAAGCTCATCGGCAATTGCTTCCCACTGCTCGGGAGTCGGGTCGATGCCAGTGGGGTTGTGCGCACAGCCGTGAAGTAATATGACCGATCCATTGGGAGCACCCTAAAGCAAGAGTTGCAAAACTAGGCCTCGTATAAGCCGAAACTTGTGGAGACTTTACCTTGATATCTTCAATCATTCCCTTGAAATCCAGCCCAACCGTTTGAGGATCAAAGTATCTATATTCTGACCATGGAACACCTACATCGCTGAGAATGTTCTTGTGGTTTCCTACAAAGATAAAGTGGTAAGTAAACAAACTGTTGTCACTAAGAAATGAGCTGCTCACCCCATGTAGGAGACGAAATAAGAACCTTAACGCCAGGAAAGTATCTTGCAATAAAGGCAGCACCCAAGCGCAGAGAACCCGTTCCAGACAGACCTTGAACAGTAGCAATCTAGAAATCCAATCCAGAAAACGTCAAGAACTTCGAAACTCAAAACTTATAGAAACCCAACCTGGCCATTCTTGATTACTGGATTGTCAGCCCCCAACAGAAGCTCGGCAGTAGCCTTGTTAAAAGCAGCAAGACCTTCAATTGGAAGATACTGTATGATACAAAAACGAAAACCAATGAACACCAAAACCTTCAAACATTCAAGCTCACCTCCTTGTTTTCACCCCTCTCCAGCATAAGCTGCTCGGCCTGCAGTAGAAAACAAGCTGTGAAATCGTAAAGCTAAGGCAAAGAAACGAACCTTGTTCACAACTTTAAGCACGTAAGGCTGAAGGTCCTCAGTCCTGTAAGCTCCAACACCAAGATTCAACTTGGTAGCGTCGGTATCCGCCTTGAATGCCTCGCTGACACCGAGAATGGGATCCGGAGGTGCCATGCTCACATTTTCAAAGCGAGAAACATCGACCGCCACAGCCATGTTGACCTTTGCAGCACACTAAATCAAAACGAAGGAGAAAAAGGAACGATCAACTTCAAGCTCAAGCGAAAAAGTTTTCTTTTTCCTCAAAAGAAAAGGTACCTTCACGGATGGAAACGATGCGTTCTTTGTCGAGAGCACAACCGTGTGGAACCCCACAAATTTTTTCATCTGGACACAATTCATGCAAGCACATTTTCAGACCGAGAAAATGGAAGAAATCGAAACTAGCTCCACCAATCGGAACTAGCTCCAGATCGGAGAAACGCAATGCAAGCCTCACAAACGCGGATCTAACGCGAAATCTACAGAATAGGTCCCTTGAAAGCACGACAGAGCTGATCCCCACTTACGGCAGGCTTGGAGGACATCTTCGAAGCCACTGGAAATGCGCTGCTCACAGCAATCTCGTTGAGCGCCATGCTCGTCGCCATAGCCGAGGAGAGATGCGTCGCGCCCTACTCGAAGCTCTCCCTGTGTAGAATCGTCCTCGATTATACCTACGTCTCCAATATAAAAGGGGAAAAAAATTTCAAAGGTGGAGGTAGAAGCAATCCTAGCCGCTCGTTTGGATGCTCAAGAACATTCCCATAAACCCTAATTTTTAGTCAGTCAACAAAAGGAGCTTTATTTCACTTGTAGTGACTTTTAAGAATTTCCGACTCGATCTCTTGGAATGAGCCTGAGCTCCGAGCCGTGCTTTAAGAATACGTTTCCTACACACGACATACTCCAGACGATCAATCGATCGATACAAAAAACTTCATAGCTTTTTCGCTTACCTGCGCTTTGCTGGGGATTTATGCCGACTCCATCTACACACCAAAAAAGCGTAAGCTTACAAGATAATTGTCAAGCAAGAGATCGATCTAAACAGAGAAATCTTTTAGCTAGACTTCCGGTTCAAAGTTAAAAACCATCCATTGAAGACAGCAAATGAAAGAAGACAGCAAATCAGCGCAAGCTTACGATATAATTGTCGAGCGAGAGATCGATCTATCAGAGAAATATATCTAGCTAAACTTCCAGTGAAAGCATACAAAACATCCCTCGAAGAGACCAAAGAAAAAAGAAAGAAAAGCGGAGAACGACAACTCGAGGAGATTTCTAAGAGTTCTTCTAGAGAGAAGCGTACCATTTGTGATGATCGCACTGGTCTGCGCAGGAACTTTAAACTCCTCCGCAACGTACTTGAGAACCGCCGTGAAAGGAGCCTCCTCGGGAACACTAAGCCTGTTGATAGGAAAAATTAGAGATTTCTATGCTTCACCGAGAACGAGCTTTCTTACACTTTGTATGGAAGCTTTGGATCGGAGGTAAGAGTGACCTTAAACGTAACCTTGCCGCCAGGGCTGAGAAAAAGAGGGAAAAACTTGCAAGAATGAGCGACAATCGATCCAGCAAGTGAAAATTTCGCGTCGATCAGGCGATCAGCTTACCCCTTCACGCCCGCAGCGGCAGAGGGTGCCTGGATCGGATTGCTGCTGCTGTCCACAGCTGCCATGGCGCTCGCTCCCAAGAACCCTAAATTTGATAGTGCATTCAGATTTAAAATCCAACGGCGGAGATTTGTATTACTTAATCGAACGGCCAGTATTCAATGGTGGAGATTCTTTCATTTTCTCTCTCGGAAATTTGCGAGGAGTTCTTCTCTTTCTTTTTGGCTCGCCGATACCATCCACTGGCTAAATTCTTTGACGCCCAATCCTTTGAACTTGGCGAGCTCGGAGAAGAGCTCCGATTTTTTCGTCGCTGGCTTTTGCTTCGCCGCTGTTGGTTCTTTGGAGCGATCCAATTCTTTGGCTGTTTGATCGCTCCGGTGTCTTTGCTTTGGCTTTGTTTCCTTTGGAGCGTTTGATCCCTCCGCTTCTCCCTGTGTTTGTTTTGGTTCCCTTCTTGTTGTTGATGCTGATTTTCGGACGGTCTTTTCTTCTATCACCCGAGTAACTCTCGTTCTCCTGGTGATCGTTTCGCGCTCCTCGTCGCCTGAATCGATGACATCGACGAGTTCTTCAATCTTTTGGCCCCGAAGTAATCGAGCATTCACCACCTCTTCGTTCTTGTGAGCGTAAACCACACCTACAAAACTCCGTAAGAAACAAACATCCGGTTCGCCAGAAAATCACGAACAATTACCTGATTTTGTCAGCATGTCTTGGAGTCCCACTGTTTCCTCTTCGTCTGTCTTCTGTGAGTCTTGCATATTTTCTTTCACCAGACGAGCAAGGCCGCTGACTCCATGCTCGTCATCTTCTTCTTCATCCCCGTCCTCAAGAGCTCTTGGCCTCCCTCTACGAGGCCTACACGGTTCATCGCTGTCGCTGTCGTAACTTTCGACCTGTATCTTCATTAATCTCTCTTCGTGCTGCTCAATGATGTCGCTTGTGAAGACTTTGTCTTGAAGATCCCGGAACAAGTTGCTCAGTCCAAAAAGCTCTCCTTTGTCACCTTTGGAGTCCTGCCAATAACAAAGTTGAAACGAAAAAAGAAAGAAAAGAAGATGTTCTACCTGAACTCCTTCGAAGTATCGCTTCTCGCGATTTCCCGTGACTGCAAGGTTGAAAAGCTGCTGCTTGTATATTTGCCTGGTATAAATTAACTCCTCCAAAGACCCTGCAGCCAGTAACCGGAACACAGTGACATGGCGTTTCTGACCAAAGCGGAAAGAGCGATCTTGCGCTTGGAGATCTTGTGCTGGATTCCAGTTTGGATCAAAGACTACCACCCTGTTTGCACTCACCAGATTGAGTCCAAGACCACCAGCACGAGTAGAGATGAGGAACACCTGGAAAAGTAACAGTTTGTATAGAAAGAAAAAAACAAATCGTTCCACCACCTGTTTGCTAGGACTAGTATTGAACTCGTCGACAATGCCCTGTCTTGCATTCATAGGTGTTGAACCATCGAGCCGGCAAAAGCAGTATCCTCGACGAATAAGAAACTTCTCTAGAATTCCAAGCATCCTGTTTAAATACATGAATTCGCAAGTCAAACTCACCATAAAACTGTGTCACACCAACCTCACAGAGTAGCTAAAGAGCAGCACCTTGTCACCTTGTGAAGTCCACTTGGACAAAAGGTTCTTCAGCGCAAGCATCTTGCCGCAATTCTGAGAGTCACTTAGACCGAGAAAGCTCTCATCTGGTTGAATGCCACCGAGAGAAGGAGCATCGTCACCGAACACTAGTGATGCAAACGCTGCGTCCTTCCTTCTCTTCTCGATATCGTCACTAAGATTTGGCTTAAGAAGCTCGAGATGATTGCTCACCTGGAGAAACCAACTCACGTTAGGAGATAAATGAGTAAAAACATGTTCAAACCTGCTGGAGTTTGTTCAAGCATGGAAGAACCAAGCAGCAGGGGCATGACTCGCATCCATCTGGATTGCCCTTGTGAAGATACGACCAAATCGGTCCCTTTGGAGCAGTTCTCAGGCAACACTTCGAGCTCGGCTCCTCACTACCGCAGCCACAAGGTTCGTTTTTCCTGACCAGGCACTGAAAGTCGGGACTTTCCAGGAGACGTTTGTAGACGCGCCTCTGTATAGGACTCATTGCGCAGAAGATGACAATGTCCTCCTTCCCTTTCAGCAGGTGTCCTATCGTCTCGTCTTTTGTTCGTCTCAAAGAGTACCTTCGTAGAACAGCCAATAGATGTTGTCTTCGTTTCTCCGCAAGCTCTACTAAAACCTGTGAGGCACTGATTTTCTGTCCCTGCTTGATTGGCTCATCGTAGTATCCTCGAAAATGCTCTCTTGTCCCAAGGCATCCCGGAGCAGCCCACTCGAAAACGTTGAACAAATCGATCAACTTATTCTGTAAGATTGTCCCTGTCAACCCGAAGCGGCACTTCGTGCGTAGCCTGCAGCATGCCTTGTAGAGCTGAGACTTTTCGTTTTTCAGGCGGTGTGCCTCGTCCACAATCACACAATCCCAATCAATCTCCTGCAGCGAGCTTCCGTGTATTCTAAAAGTATCATGGCTGGTAATGACTACGTCGAGCTCGTCTCTCCGGACCTTGTCCACGATAGCCTCCCTTTGAGCACCATGGTAAACGCCGAGAGGGAAGCTTCCCCAAGCTTCAAACTCCCGCTGCCAATTCTCTATCACTGAAGTTGGACAAAGCACCAGCACGACCTTCTTCTTTGCTTCACTTAAGTTTGCCTTCGATCGGAATGGAAGCCGAAAGAGCTCACCATCGTTGTGAAGTATAGCTGCGATGAAAGCTATCGACTGTATGGTCTTTCCAAGCCCCCTACACACACACACACACACACACACACACAAAAGAAATCAAGAATAAACTTTTTGACGCGGCTTAGATGGTACTTACATATCATCACCAAGAATTCCACCGATTTTTTGCTTGTAGAGATTATAGAGAAACCGGACACCTTCACGTTGATGCTCCAGTAGCCTGCTATTAATCGGTGCTGGAACCTACAGCAGGAAAAATATCCATGACCAAAAATTTCTTGACAAAGAATGGCTAGAGAAATTGCAAGAAGGAAAGAAACAAGACGAAAAAACGTTTGAACAAACCTCTACTCTCTCTGGTGATTCTTCGTCCGACAATACAAGAGGCTCGTATGGACCTTCTTTCTCGGATTGTACCAAAAGCCCAGCGTCGCTGTCCAAATTCTCCCCGGATTCTTCCTCGGCAGCCACAGAAGCAGCATTGTCTTCCTCGATTCTCACACACGGCCGTTTGAGAAGAGGCTCGTCGATTTTCTGAAGAGCTGTGCCGCTGGAATCCTCATACCTTTGCCTCTTGACGTTGCCGTATATCCGCGCCTTGGACGCCTCGAGCGACTCTAGCTGCTCGCGAATGCTCGTCTTGGCGGGCTTCCTGGCCAGCGTCTCCATTACTACACTTCTATAAACCCTAAAACTACAAAGAGAAAATAGGGTTTAAGCGCGCCTATCGCCAGTGCGAGAGATTTCGAGCGCCATTCTCTTTCTCGCAGGAAGATCCTCGCGTTCTTGCCGGATTGAAAGCTTGCGGCAACTTGAGGGAGCTTGAGATTGGTAAGAGGATCCATCACAGCGGCTCTCCAAGCATTCTGGTCTCTAATGCCTCGATTTCCATGTACGCGAAATGCGGGAGCATGCCGGATGCGCGAGGAGTCTTCGATGGAATGGCGCGTCGCGACGTGGTTTCCTGGACAGCTTTGATCTCCGGGTATGTTGAGAACAGGGACATCGATCGGGCTTGTGAGAGCTACGATCAAATGGAAGGTTGCGAGCCAGATGCTCGAGCGTTTCTCGCGGTTCTTACAGCTTACGCCCGTCTAGCAGCTCAAGAAGAAGGAGTCCAAGTTTGTGGCAAGCTCGCTAAAGTTGAGGCTCTTGGAAAATCCATGGCCTTGCACGACCAGATTTTTGGAAGGGGCTGTGACAAGGATATCTTCGTAGCAAGCTCGCTGGTGGATCTCTATGCGAAGTGTGGGAGCTTGCTGGATGCCCGGATAGTTTTTGACAGGATGGCCGAGCACAACGTAGTTTCATGGACTAGTCTGGTGATGGGATACGTAGAGAATGGGGGGGCTGGAATCGCTTTGCAGCTTTTTAGTTGCTTCCACAGCACAGGACTGGTAGTGAATTCTCGAGTCATGGTTGCTGCGCTTATGGCCTGTGGAAGCTTGGCAACGAAGGAAGAGGGAACTCAAGTTTGTGGAAGGCTTGTCAAGATCGGGTGTCTAGAACAAGGTGTGGTTTTATACGAGCAGGCAAAGTCCCGGCAATTAGACTCGGAAGTTCACGTAGCGAACAGCTTGATTGACATGTTTGCGAAGTGTGGGAGCATGCAGAGAGCTCGTCGAGTTTTTGAGACAATGGAGCTTCGAAACGTTGTGTCGTGGACGTCATTGATACAGGGGTATGTAGAGAACGGGAAGGAGGAGCTAGCTCTAGATCTCTTTGGCAGTATGGAAACTCCACCAAACGCTTGGACTTTTACCACAGTGCTTATGTGCTACGCTTCTTTAGCAGCAAAATCCAGTTGCGGAACCATGAAGACCAAGTGGCTAGAGAAAACGAAGGCTCTCCACGATGACGCTGTGAAGTCTGGCTGTTCTTTGGATATCGTTATGGCCAACACGCTAGTTTTTACCTACATGAAGTGTGGGAGCATGGTAGATGCCGATCAAGTTTTCAGCAGCATTGGACGGGTCGCAAACGTTGTCTCGTGGACGTCGATGATTCTCGGGTATACAGAAAATGGAGAGCACGAACAAGCTCTAGAACATTTTTACAGGATGAAAGCAGCAGGAAGTGCTCCCGATTCTCGAGCATTTGTCGCAGCTCTTACGGCCATGGGAAGATTAGCGGAGAAAGAAGCGAATGAGCTCCAGGATTCTGCCAAGACCAAGTGTCTGGAGAGAGCAGTGGAGATGCACTTGGAAATCACAGCAAGCGGGCTCGACTCGGACAGTTTCGTCGCAAACACGTTGATGGAGGTTTATGCAAAGTGTAGGTGCATGCCGAAGGCTCGCCAGGTCTTCCAAGGGATGGTGAATCGCAACACCGCAAGCTGGAACACTATGATCCTGGGCTATGTCAAGAATG